CTGAATCCAAGGCCCTTTTTCTGTAATCTGAAATTCTAGCCAAGTTTTGGCCAGCTTATAGATACCAATGTTATTTGTCTTATCCACATGTGTTCTTTAGTTGTTCTGTAAAACTCTTATGTTCCTAGATGTAGGTTAGAGTGATACTTAAGCTGTGCTTTGGCTGGGGGCATGCTGCTTTGCAAATGTCAAGACTGACCAATTTACTTGTCTTTCTTAGGTGCTTTGGAAATCATATATTGATTTTGAAATTGAGCAGGAAGAAACGGAAAGAACACGAAACCTTTACCGACGGTTGCTTCAAAGGACGCAGCATGTCAAGGTATCCTTTTGCTTTGTAGATGATCTTTCATTTTGCTTGAATCAGCAGTCCTGAAGAAAATACTCTATTTCTGTATTTTAAGTGTGTGGGGTTTTTTTGTTTTTTGTTTTGTTTTGTTTTGTTTTAAATGACTTCCTTGCTTCTTAAGAGAAACATGAGTCTCAGAGGACTTTCGAATGTTAAGTTTATACCAGGTCATTGTTTATGTTGCATGTGAATAGCTTGGGTATCACAAGATTGAAAAAAAGTTAAACTTTTTTTTTTTTTTTTTTTTTTTTTTTTTTGAGACAGTCTCACTCTGTCGCTAGGCTGGAAGGCAGTGGCGCAATCTTGGCTTACTGCAACCTCCTCCTCCCGGGTTCAAGCAATTCTCCTGCCTCAGCCTCCTGAGTAGCTGGGAGTAGAGGTGTGCGCCATCACGCCCAAGCTAATTTTTCTATTTTTAGTAGAGATGGGGTCACCTGTTGGCCAGGATGGTCTCAATCTCTTGACCTTGTGATCTGCCCGCCTCAGCCTCCCAAAGTGCTGGAATTACAGGCGTGAGCCACTGCGCCCAGCCAAGTTAAACTCTTTTCAAGAGTTTAAAACTATGTCAGACATTTAACTGTAGAATGTAGAATGACATATTTTCAGTGTTTGTATTGAAGCATATATTCATTGTTTTAATCTGTGAAACACTAGTAATGAACACATCTTTCTGATGTCATTAACTGGGAATTCGCTTTATTATTACTACATCAGTGTCTTCTGAGTGACATGGTTAATTTGGTTCAATAATAACTTTTTTTAAAGGTATGGATCAGCTTTGCTCAGTTTGAGTTGTCTTCAGGAAAAGAAGGAAGTTTGGCTAAATGCAGACAAATTTATGAAGAAGCTAACAAAACCATGCGAAACTGTGAAGAAAAGGAAGAGAGACTTATGCTGCTGGAATCTTGGCGAAGTTTTGAAGAGGAATTTGGAACAGCTTCAGATAAGGAGAGAGTAGACAAACTCATGCCAGAGAAAGTCAAGAAGAGAAGAAAGGTCCAGACAGACGATGGGGTAAGATCTCTGCCCTGGGACTGTTCATCTCACGTCACATGAGTAGAAACACATCTGACTTTGAAATGTAGACTTTTAAGTGGCATATGTACAATCTTAGAATGGAAGCAGACCACCCGGAGTAGGAGATGGTTGCAATCTGGCTGTTATGGAAACACGGGGTAGAGCATATGGTCCAGTCAGAGGTGGAGAATGAGAAGGGGTTGGCAAAGGTGTTTTGATGACGGTTGAGTCTGGGAACTTCATGAAGTGTGATATTTTTAGAGCATTAAATAGGAAGTCAGCGTGGAGGAAGACTGAAGCGAACTTTCAGATAGCAGCCTATCCAGGGAAGGCTTGTAGGCGATAAGAAGGAGTTTGGTGGGAGTCAGTGAAGGCTGTTTTGCATAAAATGACGTGACCAGATTGCTGGCATCTCATACTGGTAGACTCAAGGGGCTTAGACTGGAGAAAGAAGACCCATCAGGAAGCAGTTTTTATAAGCTGAGCAAGACATGGAAGCTGGAACTAGAACAGGGCCACAGGGCCTGTCAGAACAGTATTTGGAAGGTGAAATCAGTGACTGATAAGAGGTGAGGATGGGAGGGTAGGGAGTTGGAATAATAATGCACAGATGTATGACTTTTGCTACTGGATGAATATTATGTAAAAATCGTTAAACATTTTCTTAAACCTAAGACTGCACAATGTAGTTGGAGACACTGAACATCTTGGTTGGCTGTAGAAGAGCTATGCTTAGATTTTTAGAATTTTTTTCTACCATTTTAGTTCTCACTGAGCTACAGTTGCTGCTTACTCACTCCCAGTCTTTCAGACCCAGCCCTTGTTCTTTCTGTAGTAGACTTTGATGTTGTTTTGTAAAATGGAGGAGTGTATCACCCACGTTTGCTTATCTTTTCATTGTTTTATTTCTGTAGTCTGATGCAGGCTGGGAAGAATACTTTGATTACATCTTTCCAGAAGATGCTGCCAACCAGCCTAACCTCAAACTCCTGGCCATGGCCAAACTGTGGAAGAAACAGCAGCAGGAAAAGGAGGATGCTGAGCACCATCCAGATGAGGACGTCGATGAGAGTGAATCCTGATCTTTTTTTCATATTGACAAATGTTTTGTTATTTTTATAAATTAATTGTTTGGAACTCGTGTGACTCCTGGAAGTTCTTACATATTTCACCAGTAAGAAACTGATTGGTATCTTTGATAGCTACTTTTTAAGTTATTTTTTAAATGCTCTTGGGTTAGCTAGGGGTGGGGATTGCAAGTAAAGGACTTTTTTAACTGCTGGATTTCTTTTCCCAACTGAGTCCAAACTTTTCTAGCGTCTGTCCACATCATGCATTAGAAAATGTAATTAAGGTAACATTCTACAGTAACTTTTCATGTCATAACCATAAAGATAGTTTATGCATTCATCTGAAATGTGTAACTTTTTCATGTCTTCAGAGTCACAGACTTGAGTTCATTTCCCAGCTCTGCCACTCGTGATTATATAACTTAATTTTCATTTTGCTCATTCACAAAATGGGCCAATACTTTGACAACTCATTTTGAAGATTACATTATAAAAGGAATATACCTGGTGGGTGCATAGTAAGTGCTCAGTAAAGTGTTTGTTCTAAGCCACTTTTAAAAATAGTTTCATTCCTTGTAGAATTAAATGTGAGTGGATTAATTTACCTTACCTTATTACTAGTGGCCAGTTACATTAAGTGCTTTTTAGAACATTATTTGGAAAAAAATTTGCAGTGATTCTATTTCTGAACAAGGTTCAGAAAACATTGTTTACCAAGAGGAATTTAGTCTAATTTCAGTTAGGCACTCATCAGTTCTCCAGAGTGAGTTTGTAATAGCTTGTTTAAAGAATAATGGCTTGTTTACATGTGTGCTATGAAAAATGATATCCCATGTTCACACAAATTTGGGAAAATCTGGACTAAGACTTAAGTCTCGCTAATCAAATCTCTTTACAGTTAGGCTTCTGTACATTATGTATCTCCAGTAGCAATGTTGCTATATTATTTCCCAAACTTAGTGGACAATGGAGTAATTTCTACCTAGAGTACCAGTAAACATCTCCCAGTGTGCTATAGTAGAAAATGTCTACTCCTCACTGCTGACATGTTAAACTCACTCTTGGTTTAGAGCACGTGTAGAAACACCTAAGGTAGCTCTATGCTAAATAATGAAGAGTAGCACAAGAATGAATATATTTGCTGATATGTTGCTCACATTCTCAAGCAAAAATTTGACTACATTAACCGATCTGAGAGTTTTCCTTTAACCTGGACTGTGTTTCTCAAGCATATTTTTTCTTTGTTCACTGCCCAAGGACTAGAACTATATTTTTAAGGTTGTTTTCCCCTAAAAGGACCTTTAGTAAGCAAATTGATGATTAAATGTGCACATGTCTCATTCACCCAAGGAATAAAGCTACTTCGTAATGTTACTAAATTTTATCTTGAAAATAACATACAGTGTTTAAGGATGGAAGAAAATAGGACTGTTGAGATAAAAGGCAAATCTGTTTTCATCCTGACTGCTTTAGTCTCTGGACCAGCATCAGCTGCTGCGGTGTCAGATCACATCTCAAGTAGAGGTCTACCTAGTGAGTGAGCAGAACATCATCTTAATGAGGCCTTTGGCTCATCCAGTCAGGGAGTGAGATGAAAACAGGTCAGAATGCAAGTGACTTAATCACAGTCTTCCTAGAATTACCTGTTTATGTTGCATGTATGCATAAGAAAAAAATTCTGTCATGTTCCCAAGGTAGAATTGTAATAAGCATGTGCCAGTGTGAAAGCTGGAAGGGAAAAAGCTATTCTCTAACAGGAGAACATATTCACTTCTCTCCCACCCTCAACTCCACCAAAATAAATCCTTTCAATAGTAAAAATTTAATAATTTCTTGTGGGTTTTTCTTAAGTCTTTCACTAACTGGATATTTTCACATATTACAGAGGATGACACTACACATAAAATACATGGTTGGCCTATGCTATAGTTATATGACCTTTCTTTACAAATTATGTTCTTTTTCCTCTCTTAAAAAAAAAAAAATAACCTCAACAGTTTTTGTTTTTTTGGTGTTTTAGAAAGGCAGCATTTAAGTAAAGCATTGTGAAGAGGAGAAAAGATCTAGGACTAACAGTGTAACAGTATGAACGCAGGTGACTGGGAAGAATTTACTACACGATAAGAAGGGAGCTTCTTAAGTGTGCTGGGCAGTGATTGCTTCAGATGTGCATTTTTAAAATATTATGTATGGAAGTCACAATTTAATGGAAAAAACATATCCTGGATGATGACCTTTCACAATCCTGATTTGTTTTTTCTTTTTTTTTTTTGAGGCAGGGTCTCACTCTGTTGCCTGAGCTGGAATGCAGTGGGACAATCTCAGCTCACTGCAACCTCCATCTCCAGGGTTCAAACAATTCTTGTGCTTCAGCTTCTGCATAGCTGGGATGCCCAGCTAATTTTTGTATTTTTTAGTATAGATGGTATTTTTAGTATAAATTTTGGCCAGGCTGGTCTCGAACTCCTGACCTCAAGCAATCAGCCCACCTTGGCCTCCCAAAGTACTGGGATTACAATCTGATTTAGTTTTACAAATGACTAACAAACTTCAGAAAACATTCATAGGGTCAACAATGTATTTTATTATACATCTTAGATTTATACATTTCATATATGCTTTTAAAGCTTCAATTAACAGTTCAATACAAAATTTAAAAACAAATATATGCAGCAGTGGTTCTCAGGCACAGAATTTAGGAGGAGACTGAAGCAAATCTTTTCACTAGCATACATACAGTGAGTATTATGAACCATGAGAGTGGGATGTTTCCTTCTGACCTAGCTGCCTTTTTGATTGAATTTTGTTAGTGAACAGCTTTAATAGGTATGACATTGCTAACTGGAAACAATGAGATTTTAAATAAATTGATAACCTGTATTTTCTTGAAGTCTTTTTTTTTTTTTTTTTTTTTTTTAAATATGGAATGCCTCACGAATTTGCGTGTCATCCTTGCGCAGGGGCCATGCTAATCTTCTCTGTATCGTTCCAATTTTAGTATATGTGCTGCCGAAGCGAGCACTCTTGAAGTCTTTAAGACTTAAAATGATTACTTTTCTCCTAATAGAGCTCCAGAATCATCCAATGAAAATAATATTGTCCATAAAGTATCTAGAGTATCTGCCTAAGAACCACTGCCCAGGGTTATTCAATGTCTTCAGGCCTCACAGGATGAGGTAATGGTATGATGGATTTCTTCTCAGTGTCCCTGGAAAGTGCTTTCCTCATATCTGTAAAGAAGCAAAGTTTAATATAAACACTCAAACAACATATTCTATCAAATGTAAAGTGTATAGATAAAGTTCCCATAAGAGGTTTTATCCCCTACCCCTACTTCCACCAGATTCTAAGCAAAATGTATTTATAAATAAGTCGCCCAACTGCCAAGTATACCAGACGCTAACCAAACCTCACCCAGGATTCAGCTCACAATACACGTTCTTTCTTGTTATTAAAATAATATGTATGTAACATAGTAAAACAGTAATGTACAGAAATTAACCATTGGCTAGTTAATAGGTAAGTTAATTATTACTAATAGGTTCATAAAGGTAGGTTGAGGGAGATTTAATATTAAAGTCAAATATGATTCTTCTACATTTATTAAAATAATCAAAGACTACAATCTGTAGAATGAATGTAACTATTTCGACTTCTTCTTGAGGATACTGCCATGGAAGGGCGCTTACCATAAGCGTCCTCATCAGGCTCCCCGTTGCTGGCCGAATAGTACTCTATGACCGTCCTATATACACTGTAGCCCAACTGCTTGTACATGTTAACTGCAACTTGGTTAGATACTCTTACAAAGAGATCGACAAAAAATCCACCCTTTCTTTAAAAAAAAAAAAAAAAGGAAAATGTTAGAATGTGAAACACCCTAGAAAGTAATAGATACATATTTTTTTAAAACATGTGTTTTTACCTTGCTCTGACTACTACTCAGAATGGTAGTAATAGGACTTTGTAGCCGATTACATGGTAATAGAAATTTGTATTACTTAGGATTTATGACAATTACTTTGCAGTATAAGATGACTATATGCATACTAGCATTTCAAAAGCTGCAACACGTTTTCTTAAAAGATAAACTCAAGGCATTTGTTCTATAAATTCACCACTTATTACAGTTTCTCCTGTTGATGAAGTTTACATACATGGAATCATATATTCTTTTGTCTTTTGCTTCTCTCAGTCAACTAACATTGTAAAAGCTTCAAGAGTGGCTGGGCTTGTGCACCACAAGTCATTCACGGTCCTGTTGATACACATTTCTGGCTTTTACTGTTACAAACGATGCTCCTATGAATACTTCTGTTGAGTGTCTCATGTAAGGTCTATAGCTAGGAGTCTCACTGTTGTGTCACAGGGCACATCTTCATTAGTTAATGCCAAACTGTTTTCCCAACTGGCTTGTACCAACTCACTCTCGCACAGAAGTGTGTAAGCCTCCATTCCACAGCAGCAAGGCTTGGTGCAGCAGATGTTTTTATTTTTGCCAATCTTACAGTGTAACTATATCTCAGATTTTAGTTTGTATTTGCAATTACTAACGATGTTGAATATATTTCTGTTGGTTGGCCATTTAGATTTCTCCTTCTGTACAGTACTTAAATCTTTCACACAGTTTTTCCCCCGCTACAGTTCTCTATGTATTGTGAATATTCAGTACTGTGTAATGTCTTTGCAAATATCTTTTTCCAGTTTGTGGTTTGTCTTGTCATTATCTTTATGGTATCTTTTGATAAAAAAAGTTACTTCACTTCAGTGAAGCTGAATATATGATGGCCTTTTTAAAAAGCCCTACACTAAGGCCACAGAGACACTCTGCCATATTCAATTCAAAAGACTTCTTAGCTTTACTTTCACATCTAGGTTTTTAATAAATCTGGAGTTGATTTGTGTATGGAATAGTGGTAATCTGGGAAATTTTTTTTTCCCATAGGGACATCCAATTGTCCAACCACCTTTACTGAAAAGTCTATCTTCATACTACTGATGTGCAGTGCCTCCTTTGCGGTATGTTAAAGTCCATATATTCTCGGGTCTGTTTCTCAAATTCTGTAGCACTGGTCTAGATAACTACAGCACTAAGATACAGTCTCACTCTTTACAGTCTGATACCTGGAGGGGGCACATCACCCATTTTGCTGCTATTCAAGAATTATCTTGTCTCTTTTTTGCTCTTTCTATTCCTCTATATGTTTCAGAGTCAGCCTAACAAGTACTATAAAAAATACTTGGGATTTTGACTGCAGTTACATTGGAACTGTGGTCAATTACCTGTTTTACTGTATCCTCTAATCCAGTGATAGTTTATCACTCCACTTATCAGGGCTACTTTAATATCTCTCAAAAAAGTTTTTAAAATGTCAGAGGTCTTGCATAGCACTTGCTAGATTCTTAAGTATTTAATATTTTTTCATGCTATGGCATCTTTTTTAAATTTTACTGTTTGTAAATATATAAATACCATTGATTTTTTATACTGACTTTATATCCAACAACCTTGCCTACCTTTAATTCTAAACATTTATTTCTAGATTCTTGTGGATTTTATATTTGTATAATATCTGTGCAAAATAAGTTTTGTTTCCTCTCATATGTAAATACAATTGCTTTTTATACTGACTTTATATCCAACAACTTTGCCTACCTTTTATTAATTCTAAATATAGATTCTTATGGATTTTATATTTGTATAATCGTATCTGTGCAAAATAAGTTTTGTTTCCTCTCAATCCTCCTATTGTTTATTGTTTCCTGCTTTCCTGCACTGTCTATAATTTCTAGTAAATTACTGAAGAGGGACTAACTTGTCCCTGATTTCAAAAGGAAAGCATTCAATGTATCACTACTAAATATATTTACTACAGATTTCTTGTAGATATTTTTCAGGTTAAGGAAGTTCCCCCTTTCTATTTCCTAGTTTGCTAACAGTTTTTATCAGGAAAGAATATTGGATTTTATCAAGTTTGCTGCACTTTCTAAAATAACCAGTGTTCTCCTTTAGTGTAAAGTTGAAACCACCTTGTTTCTGATGTGTCATCCTATTTATGTAGTGCCAAATCCATTTTGCTAAGTATTTTTCCAGGATTTTGCATCTGAGTGAGATCTTCCTCAAATTTTCCTTTTCCATATTTTGTCAAGTATTGTTATCAGAGTTATCCTTGCCTTAAAAAATAAGTTGAGGAATGTTCCCTTTTTTAGCTTGTGCAAAATAGTTTCTGTAAAAGTGACCTTTCAGTTGTTATTTCTTAAATGTTTGGTAAAATTGGCCAGAGAAGCCACAGCTTTCTTCGTGAAAAGATTTTGGGCTACTGATTGAAATTCTTTAGGGCAGGGGTTGGCTCACAACCTATTTTGCTACTGCCTTCAAGCTAAGAATGGTTTTTGCAATGGTTGTTAAATAACAAACAAACAAAAAACTATGTAACCAAGACTTTAGGTGGCCTGTAATGCCTGAATATTTACTATCTGACCCAGAAGAAAATTGCTGATTTTTGTTCTATAGGCTTGACAAATTTCTATCTCATTGTTCTATCAGAAAAAAAGCGTGTCTCAATCTCACATTATAATAATAATTTGTCTATTTCTCCTTGTAGTTTTGTCAATTTGTGCATTTTTACTTTGAAATATTGTCACTGGGTATATATCATTTTAAACCGCTATTTTTTTTTTTTTTTTTTTGAGATGGAGTCTTGCTTGTTGCACAGGCTAGAGTGTGATGGCATGATCTTGGCTCACGGTAACCTTTGCCTCCCAGGTTCAAGCAATTTTCTGGCCTCAGCCTCCCAAGTAGCTGGGATTACAGTCACGTGCCACCACGCCTGGCTAATTTTTGTATTTTTAGTCGAGACAGGATTTCACCATGTTGGCCAGACTGGTCTGGAACTCCTGACTTCAAGTGATCACCTGTCTTGGCCTCCCAAAGTGCTGGGATTACAGTCATGAGCCACCACTCCCAGTCTTGTTACTTCCTTGATTAAATATTTTATCAATATGCAATGACCCTTTTTTACACTGGTAATAATTATTCAACTATAATTTACCTACTATTAATAAGTATTCTAACTTTCTTCTGGTTAGAATTTGCAAGGTAATTTAAAAATTTACTTTCAAACCTGCACGTTATGTACATGTACCCTAGAACTTAAAGTATAATAATAAAAAAAAATTTACTTTCAATCTTTCTGTATTAAAAATATTTTAATATATTTTACACATATTTCCTGTAAACAATACAGATGGCCTTTGTCTTTTAAATAGAGTCATCATAGCCAGCAGGACGTGGTGGTGGGTGCCTGTAATCCCAGCTACTCGGAGGGTGAGGCAGGAAAATTGTTTGAGCCTGGGAGGCGGAGGTTGCAGTGAGCCGACATCATGCCACTGCACTCCAGCCTGAGCAACAGAGCGAGACCCCGTCTCAAAAAATAATAATAAATAAAGTCCTAAGGCCATTAACATTTACTGTTGTAATTACTGACAGTATTTGGATTCTTAGCTACCATTTTATTTCATGCATTTTGTTTTGCCGGTTTAGTTTCCTTTTTCTCTTCTTTGGGGTTGATTTCTATCATTCAATTTTTCTTCTCCTCTACTTGTTTGGTTTCTATTTTTAATGTATACATTGTATACACTATGTATACATGTATATAAGCATATAATGTATACAAGCATGTGTATATATATTATGTATGTATATATGTATACAAACCCCTACAAATAAAGATTACTTAAATCTTAGCAACTAGTCTCAAATAACGAAGGCTTAGAAACTGGAAGGGAAGACAGCATAGTGGTTTTCTACTCAGAGAGAGAATCTATCATATAAATACCTTAAATTATATGTGGAAGGTCATAGCTAGTTACAACCCACTTTCTTTCATTATACTTTAAGTTCTGGGATACACGTGCAGAATGTGCAGGTTTGTTACATAGGTATACACATGCCATGGTGGTTTGCTGCACCCATCAACTCGTCATCTACATCATTAGGTATTTATAATTCTATCCCTCCCTTAGACCCCCACCCCCAACAGGCCTCAGTGTGTGATGTTCCCCTCCCTGTGTCCATGTGTTCTCATTGAACAACCCACTTTCTAACTCCCTGTTCACTATACAATAATGCCAAATACTTTTTTTTCAACATAATGCCATTAATAAATGTGTATAAACTATAATCATGCTAAAAATTTTCTTCCCTTCTTTGTTTGGTCTAGGGAGAACTTGAAAAAAATCTTAAAGATTAGCACTCTTCTTTTTCAGCTAACACAACTTCTTCTCTTCTCTGAAGGAGTTTGAGCTCCTTTTGCCTCTAATTTGGCTTGAAGCCTTTGTCAGGCCACAGTTACTTCTTTAAAACTTGCCTTTATTAAATCTAATAATTAAGTGGAAATTAAGCTCAAGAACCCTCAGCAACTATTCTCTTTCCTACCACACTTTTAGGAAATTACAGTGGAGAAAGAAATGGCAGCTTGACAACAGGTCAAGCTTATACAAACCTATCTCTTCTAGAATGAAGATACGAGGAGGGGCTTTCTCTTCTATTTATTGTATTACACGACAATGAAGAGGTTTGATATATACAACATGTCTCTTAAAAAAAAAAAAAAAAGATGCCATGCTGGCAGTTCGCGAACTGTGCACTTAGGTGCCCTAAAGTGTCCCAAACTCATACAACCACCAAAGGATATTTCGAATGTTCAGGAAAAACAGCAAAACCTTACACGTCAGATATTGGGAAACTAGTTTGAAGTAGTTCACAAGTTCGACATTAGATCATACTACATTCCTCTTAATGACATAATATTTCTATGAAGCTGAGTTTCTGGCAGTTGCTGTGATTAAAAAAAATATTAGGGCCAGGCACAGTGGCTCACGCCTGTAATCCCAGCACTTTAGGAGGCTGAGACAGGCAGATTACGAGGTCAGGAGATCGAGACCATGCTGGCTAACACAGTGAAACCCCGTCTCTACTAAAGAATACAAAAAATTAGCTGGCATAGTGGCAAGCGCCTATAGTCCCAGGTACTCGGGAGGCTGAGGCAGGAGAATAGCATGAACCCAGGAGGCGGAGCTTGCAGTGAGCCAAGATTGTGCCATTGCACTCCAGCCTGGGTGACAGAGCAAGACTCCGTCTCAAAAAAAAGAAAACCAATGGGAAACAGGAATGCAGGTGGTTGTGTCAAGTCATCTAACGTCCAACAGGTATACACATCTCATTAGTAGCTAGCCATAGTTATTTAAGAATGAAATAAAAATATTTCTTCTTTCATTTTTTTTTTCTAAATGGCTATTAGTTGTTAGGCTATAAATACTTATTAAACAGTTAGAATATAACTGCTTAAAACTGAACTATTTTCTTTTGGCCAAGAAGCACTGTTAAAAATTTATTCAGATGCCAAGGCAATGTTAACAGATATTAGGAGTGTGTGCCACAGTGGCAGGAACACTAAGAGAAACGTCGAGAGCTAGCCTTTGGAACTGATTCCACCAATTCCTCGGCTTATAGGCCTACAGCGGGTCACTGCAATACTTTGCCTTAATTTCCTCATTGGCAAAATAGAAACAATTATCACTTTGACTATGTGACAGAATTGTTGTAAGGACTATTGGAGATGGAGGAACATGAAATTCCTGTAAACTGTAAAGCATGACAGTTATTCAGCCTGAAGGGGAAAAAAATGGTTAGGGGTCCACAAATCCCTAAGTGTATTTGAAAAACTGAATCTCACCTTTCTGAAATCTCCTCTAGTAACTCCATAAGTTTAGCAGCCAAACCAAGGCGTCGAAATTCTGGGGCAACAGACAGAGCTGTGACGTGCCCGTGCCATTCTTCCCTGGCTACTGAGCCTTCTGCTTTACCCATAACTGCCAACAACAACAAAAATCACATTCAGTAACTAGACACTGATTTACACATAAATATACAATTACTGTTCGGTACATTTTTATTACAAAGGAAACTGATAACGAAGTTTTTAAGTACCACCTGAGGTCATCCAGCTAACAGTGCTTTTATTTGAAATTCACTTGTAAATGTAATACTATATGTAGTTCTAAAATCAGAATTAGAACAAAAAAGAATGATATACTTAAAAACACAACTAATTTTGAAAAAAGAACCAGAGTATGTATTTTTTCAAATAGCTACATTTCATATGGGTGTGGATATATGTGGGTACATGTGGATATACATATATAGTTCAGAACTAAAGGTTTTGTTAGTAATGCTAACTCAATGAGGATGCTATGATGCCTGCATTATATACTAAATAAACCATGTAGAATTTTAACAAAAGTATAGAAAGAAAGATTTTTTTTTTAGAGATGGAGTCTCGCTGTGTCACCCAGGCTGGAGTGCAGTGGAATGATCTCAGCTCACTGCAAGCTCTGCCTCCGGGGTTCAAGTGATTCTCCTGCCTCAGCCTCCTGAGTAGCTGAGATTACAGGCGTGTGACACCACGCCCAGCTAATTTTTTGTATTTTTAGTAGAGGCGAGCTTTCACCATTTGGTCAGGCCGATCTCGAACTCCTGACCTCAAAGGATCCGCCTACCTCAGCCTTCCAAAGTGCTGGGATTACAGGCGTGAGCCACTGCACCTGGCCTTAGAATGAAAGATTTTTTTTTTTTTTATTAGAATGAAAGATTTTTTTTTTTTCTATTAGAATGAAAGATTTAAGAAGACTAAGACCATGTCTGTCTGGTTCACTGCCGTTATCGCCTGGGCCTAGCACAATGCCCAAAACAGAGAAGAGATCAGTAAGTTGTTGAATTGTTGAAGAGGAAATAAAATTACAAGCATCACGATTATATTCCAATTCTGCAGTCTAAAGCAATTGGTTGAAATCTGTATTAAAATATTTACCTACTCCACAAAATATTAGTGGTATTATACTTACTATAACCCATTAATTCTCCACCAGGTGCCTCTGCAACTATGAAATACTCTGGCCAGTGGGCGAGGTACTGTAAGTAGAAAGGAATCCCATACTAGAGTCCTGTTAAGGAGTGTGAAAAGTAATGGACAGTAAAAAGTTCTTCATTAAGAGATATTGTAAAAAAAAGTTTCCTTTACAAAGTATACTGTTACTTTATCCCCAGCTCTATATGAGTCCTATAATCATACATACCATTACATGAAACATTTAGGTTATCATTGATTTTTAACAAAATTGCCTGGACATACAGCCTCAAGTGTGGAATGGTGATAGCACTGTCTAATAGAAAGCAGAGAATCAGGACCCCAAAGTTCTACAGTCTACTTCCCTACTGACCATACCATATCTAAATCTCTCCATTTATCACCTGATATTATCTGTTAGCGGTCTGCCTCCTCTTAGTCTATGAATGTCATGTTCCCTCTATCCCTGGTGCCTGGTACACAGTAGATGCTCAATACATTGATGGTTGCATAATTGCACTGAAAAATTAATGGCTAGTTCCTACTTTGACTTCAGCTATGAGACTGTAAAATAACTTTACAACCTAAGTCCTTCCAGAGCCAACTTAATTACCCAGTTTTTCCTCTCCACTGATTCAAATCCTGCATTTCTAGTAATGCAGATAAAAGCTGACTTAAGGAATCAACTATGTTAACAGTAAATGCCTGAATAATTTGCTCATGACTTAACTCTTCAACCTTGGGATGTCCTTACTGACATGTAATCATTCCTACATTTCTCTTCTTTTTACTCTGTACTTTAATGGATGAAAATATATTTCTTGTTAGTATAAACTTTCTGATGCAATTTATCAGAGGACACCATCAATCATACAGAAATATATTTTTAAGTTCCTGGAAAACCTGTTCAGTGTGAAATTCTTCAAAATCTCCTGTGAAGGACCATCATTATTTTGAATACCCTTCAAATACAACCCTTAACATGGCAGGCCAGCCAGTCTTCCTGCCAGCCAGCCTCTGACATACACCACAACCATCTCTCCTGTGGCTAACGGAGGAGTCCCAGACACCCCTCCCTCCCATCGACCTCTAGGACCCAACAGGTTACTTTCAAATATAGGCTCACCTGGATTATGGGGCTTTCATTGTACATTTTAAATGTCACTGGAAGCACACCATATAAACCAATTTGCATCCTAAAATTCTTCCAAATTTTTGTCATTCAAAATTCTTCAAAAATCTTTAAGTGGTGATATCATTAGTCATAATTTTAAAAGTCCAGATGAACACTGTGGAGATTTTTTGCTTTTCCCATTCAGTTTTGTTTCTGATATGTAGTACTGCTGCCTGCCTGTACCTGTAAGTAATTTTTACTGCTGTATAGTATTTCCTTATGTGAAGAGACACCTTAAATAGCCTGTATCCTGACAATGGACACCTGGGTCATTTCCAGTTTCCCAAAAAAATGTCTGAAATCCTTCTTCAGTACAGCTTAATTTACTTCACCATCTCCTGATTGTTGTGTGTGAATCTTACTCCAAATGCTTAGTAACTCTCCTGCAATAAATAATTTTTATAATGGTATAACTCAGGGGTTAGCAAACTTTTTCTGTAAAAGGCCAAATAGTAAACATCCTAGGCTTTGTGGGCCATACAGTCCCTGCTGGAACTACTCAAACTGCAAAAGCCACAGAAAAAAAATATAAATTAATGAGCATGGTGTCCCAATAACATTTTATTTACAAAACAGGCAGTGGGCCAGATTTGGCCTATGGGCCTTTTGTCAACCACTGACAAACTGCCTCTATTTCTTCTTATTTTTGGCTTTCAGAAAATGGAATTACTATTTCCAAAGTGCCTTCCGGAAAGATAATAGCAACTTACATTGTCACTAGCAATTTATGAGAATGTTCCTCTCACCTCACCATCATCAGCACTGAGGTGTATCATTTTTTTAAATCTTAGCTGATACCTAAAATATGACATCTCATTTTGGTTTTAGTTTACATGTCTTTTGACCAATGAGACTGAACTCCTAATACCTTCTTTAAGCTCCTATATGCCCTCTTTTGATAAATTACCGGTTAGCAGAACCCTCCTACCCATCTATAGTAGACATGGAACATAACCCAGAATCCGAACTTTGTGTTGCAAGCCACTAGAGATGTGGGGTTATCTGTTACAACAGCATAACCAGAGTACCCTATCTTCACATCTTTGCCCCATTTTTCCTTTAGGACAATAATAGACACTGCTCATTGTTACCTCAAATCCTTTATTCACTTTAGTAACAAGTCCCAATTTATAAAGCGGGGCACATTTCTGGACTCTAGATAGGATTCAGTAGACAGGTGGAACATGAAACAGGTGCTGGTCAAGGAGACAGAGCAGGGCTGTGCGGCATTTCCCAAAGGTACTCTTTTTTTTTTTTTTTGAGATGGAGTCTCGCTCTGTAGCCCAGGCTGGAGTACAGTGGCGTGATCTCCGGTCACTGCAACCTCCGCCTCCAGGGTCCTGGTTCAAGCAATTCTCCTGCCTCGGCCTCCTGAGTAGCTGGGATTACGGAGTGCACCACCATGCCTGGCTAATTCTTGTATTTTTATTAGAGACGGACGGGGTTTCACCATGTTGGCCAGGCTGGTCTTGCACGCCTGACCTCGTGATCTGCCTGCCTTGGCCTCCCAAAGTGCTGGGATTCCAGGCTCAAAGGTACTCTTAAAAGGGAAGAACACCCTCACCTCCCCCTCTGTTGATTCTGCTGCCGGAAACATGGCTGTGATGCTGTTTGCTCTGGCAGCATCTGGAACAAGATTACAGCCACTCTGTAGAGTGCTTCACCTGCAGAGAGCCTGGCTGCTGGTGTCTTCATGGAAGCATCACCTGCCTGGGACTGCTTATCTCCAGACTTTGTTCACACTAAAGAGATGAAGCCACCTTGCGGAAGTCACTGTGCTTTCCGGTGAATATAGCTATGCTGACTCCTGAGGGGTGAGGTTGGCAGGGGAGCTGGGATGTTACAAATTTCTACTATATTAACAGTTTGTCAGCAGATCTAAGACAACTCTCGTTCTCAGTGTCATTTTTAAAAATTGCTTTCAGTGTTGCTTATGATGTTTCCTGACCTACAAGTTTTTAAATTTTTCAGTACTCCTCTGTGTTTCCTTTCATTTCTCTATTTTCTTTATTCTCAGTAAATCTTCATTCAACCTTTTTTTTTTTTTTGTAAAAAAGGATACAGTTTCTGTAAGCGGATCCAAGTTACTGAAAGAAACAAGAGAAATGTCAATAGTAAGCAGCGTTTACAATAACCAGTTGAAATAAGCCTGCTAAAGCTAACAATAATAACGCCACAAGGAAAACAAACCATGTTTCATCAACAATTTTAAGGCCAACTTTAGGGCTGAGGAAGATGATTTAATCTACCTAATAGCCATAATAAGCTGTCACAGCAACTATTAGGGTGTTTATACATTTTTTCATTTAACTGCTACTTGCTTCTTTAAAATTTAAGTTAATAAATCTACATCTCGCATTTTCTAAGTGGCAATAAATTGCTAATGGAACTGGGGATCAACTAGGGATGTAGCTCGCAGAGACGGAAGGTCAAACTCGCCCACTACAGCATCTAACCCCATGGATCCTCCCTGCCTGTGTCTGGGTCTTCCCTGACAATTGCTCCTTTATTCCACCCTGTAAATGTGGTCACTCCCACCACTCGGTTTTTGCTCCCCACTCCTATTCTACACTCCCACCTCCCTGTCCCCACCATCCCCATTCCTATGTGTTCAATCACGTGTTCTTGGTGGATGCCTCCCAACCTGGCTCTGCTGCTGTGGGCGCTTCAACCAGCACATCCCAGCACACCATTCCCGAATCTGCATTCTGAAAACCCACCTCCTTCATCCCCTCACTTCCCTATTCAATCAGTGGAGCCGTTATTTTGTCAGGCTCAAAACCAGCTACTTTTCGATTGTTCTCCTCCAATTTCTAGTCAAATTCTCCTTTGAGACCCACAGCGATGCTAGTCATATCATATTCTGTAGTCCAGCAGTTCCTAAACTTTTTGGTTTCAGAACTCCTTAACACTAAAAAGTTACTGAGGACCCCAAAGAACTTTTGTTTATATGGGTAATCTACTGATATTTAAAACTTTTTAATATTCACTCAAAAATAATAAATCAATTACACGTTAACACAAATAACTTTACCAAAAAATCACTATACTTCCGAAAACAAGAAACAAAATCCAGTGACAACAATGGCACTGTTTTAACAATTCTGCAACGTCTTGCTTAAAAGACAACCGGATTCTCAAGCATTTGTTATGCTTGCTGCTGAAAGATCACACCTTGGGAAGCTCCACTGTGTACTTGTGAGGGAATGACAGTGGAAAAGGCAAAAAACCTTCTTAATACATCATGAAGATAGCTCTGACCTCACAGAATATCTGAAACAATCTTGGGGACCCCCAAACCCTGGCCCACACCTTGAGAATCACTGCTGTAATACAGTGCAGGGAGTCACTCCCACACTTCTCAACAACTGCTTCATGTCCTCTTGTCTGCCCACCCGCACCCCCACCTCCAGCCCCGCCATCTCAGGGGCTTCCTATTCCATCATGAGGAAAAGAACAGGAAGAAGAAGGCTTCACCAAAGTCCCCCCACCGAACCCACACACACAGGCATCTGCACCCATATGCTACTTGCTTTCCCGTCACCAGGCACGGAGTGCTGGCGAGAGACCCCCTCAGTACTCGGGACCCTCCTCCTGCAATTCTTTCCCTCCTGCATCTGCATCTTCAATTTCTCTTTCCTGGAAGAAACATATAAATATGATGTGCACTGAACCATCAGCTGCTCTTGAACAGCTTCCCACTGCTGAGACAGCCTGAAACGCTGTCTTCACTCAGCTTCTGAGACCATGGGGTTTTCCTCTCACCTCACTGAGCCACGTGGTCTCCTTTACTTGAACACTTGATGCCCTACGGCGCCATCTTACAGCCTCTTTTTTCTACACTTGTGTTGACCCCCACATTTCCATCTTTAGCCCAGACCTAATCTTGAGACGTCCATGCCCAGATGCCTTCCTGGCCCCTCCACCTGGGTTTCTTGGTGTCCTTGGCAGAGAAGCTCAGGTCTTATGATGGCCTCTCCAAGTCCTGCCCTTCTGACTCTCTGCTATCATCCCCTTACCCTCCCACGCTCACTCTGTTCCAGCCACATGGCCTGCCTCCTATTTGAAACAGGCGTGTCTTCACTTACTGTTCCCTCTATTTGGAAGCTCCCCTGCCCCCCAGTATTCATGTAACTCATTCCTAACTTCCCCAGGTCTTTCTTCAAGGGCACTCTCCCTGAACCCCCACACTAAAGCTGAATCCCCACTCGCTTCTAGCTTTCCTTCCCTGCTTCTATTTTCCTGTGTAACTGAACACTAAGCTCCACATGACTCCCCGCACTGTGTTAGAGCAGTGATTCCCAAGGTGTGGGTCAGGATTTGAGGGGGTCCCTAAAATTGTTTCAGGTGTTCTATGAAGTCAGCGCTACTTTATGATCCATTAAGGTGTTTAGAGGGGAAAATGTACATTCTATAAAGGCATCTTTTTGGTTATGTCTTGCTCATTGCTGTGTCTCTAGAACTGGCACACAGTAGGCACTCAAATATTTTTCCAAGAATAAAATATGTGTTAAATTAATTGCAGTGTTGTACATCCACGGATTCTTTCGATTCCGACTGCAACATCTAACATGAGTCATTCTCAGAGTTTTCTACCAAAATGCCCTAATCAAAGAGGCAAGTAAATAGAAAAAACGGGGAACCAGGTGTGGTGGCTCACACCTGTAATTCCAGCACTTTGGGAGGATAAGGTGGGAGAATCACTTGAGCCTGGGAGTTCCAGACCAGCCTGGGCAATAAAACAAGACCCTGTCTCTACAAAAAAATTTTTTAAAATTAGTGGGGTGTGGCAGCACATGCCTGTAGTCCCAACTACTCGGGAGCCTGAGGCAGGAGGATTGCCTGGGCCTGGGAGCTTGAGACTAAAGCGACCTATGATTGTGCCACTGCACTCCCATCTGGGTGACACAGCGAGACCCTGTCTCAAAAAATAAAAGAAAATGGGGAATAAATGGAGCTCCCCTACTGGCACATTCTGAAAAGGCCACGTGATTCTCTGAAATCTAATATTTTCTTGTAAGTGTTCCTGTGTTATTTCCTTTCTATTCATTTCCATGTAAAACAGTTGTCCTTTCCTAGATCTTCAGGTAAAACTGATTCCCCATAAGGCTTAACTTTTCTTGAAGCTTCAAGGCATCCTGTCACCTCCCATGCTGCACCTTCCAAACTGAAGCCTCTGCCAAGTCATCATCTCTGGGCCACTGCCAAAGCCTCCTGAATGGCTTACCTGCCCAGTTTACCTGCTCTCATCACATGACAGCCCACAGAGCTCAGTGGTTAAGAATTTGAATCCATCACCTAGAATCCACAGTGAACATTTTGCTACACTGGCTTCATCATCTCTCTCTGCCCATCTATCAATCCTAGATTCATTTTGAAAAACAATAGGGCAGTATGTGAAAACTAAGAACCAAGTGGTTCCGATTCAAGTGTCAGGAGGATAGAAAGGACTATGGGATGAGATGGTTGGGAACATTTCAAAGAGGGGTGAGCCTCTCCAGAGGCTCCAGGTGGGTTAAGACCCACTCCAGAGCAGTGGATCGCAAACGGAATGTGCGTTTCTAACATGGTCCCTGTGATCGGGGACCACATCTTTTAGAACCACTGCTCCAGAACCAATCTCCTTGGATGAAATTCCTTGCTTTACTCATCCCCACCTGGGCCAATTCACTTGTGCTTGCCATGCCTTGGTTTACTCATACACAAAATGGGGATGACAGCACCTCAAAGAATTGTGAGGATTAACTGGATTATTATGTGGGCACTCAGAACAGTGCAGGGAACAATGAGTTCAACACAAGTCACCGCAGCTATGAAGCTTAGACCAGACTGGCCCAACAGAAAATTCTTTTCACAGGATCAGGTCGAAACCCCTCCTGTTTCACCCATTTCTCCACGACTGCTCAGGGACAGAAAGCCACTAGATTCGCACTGACCCCAGTTGTCTAACCGCACTTCAAGTGTCCCCACTTTCATGCCCCGCTCCTTCTCTGGAACTTCCTTCTTCCTTACTTACCAATGTGTCACCCATCCTTCAAGGCTCACCCTCTCTTTGAAATGTTCCCAGCCATCTCATCCCATAGTGCTTTCTATCTTCCCGACACTGAATCAGAACCACTTGGTCCTTAGTTTTCACATACCGCCCTGTTGTTTTTTAAAGTGGATCTAGGACTCATAGATAGGCAGGAGAGGTATCAGTGTAGCAAAATGTTAACTGCAGAATCCAGGAAAAGTGTCTATAAAAGCACAGGGTGAAATTCCTCCAACTTTTCTAAATGTGTGGGAATCTTCATAATAAAACATTTTATTTAAAAAAAAAAAAAAAAGGTACCCGCAAATCAGAGGTCTGGCCTTAACTCGAATCCAAAGAGACTGCATCCAGGGCTCTGGGCACAGCGAACCTCCCCTAAGATATGCCCTGACTCCTCACAGAGGAAAGGTGTCTACACCCGGGTGCGCAGCTACAGTAACTAAACTTGCAAACAGTAACCATGACTGAGACAGCATCCGCTGCCGGGAACACAGTGATCGGTGTTATTTCATTTAGATACAATTTAACCACGGCCACCAGGTGGGCTTCACCATGTACACATCCCAACAGCTGCTGACCAGCTTCCGATCCTCGCAAGCCCCCTCTGCGGCCGGGCCTTCGGCGGTGCCCACTACCCAGAAGAGGCGCGGCCCGGCCACGAGCCAGCAAGCAGTGGGGCAGGGCGAGGAGCCCAGGTGGTGGGCTCGAGGCCGCGCCCCAGCTCGCCCCATCACCCCAGTACCTCCTGACAGCGACCACGAGCGGCGGCCCCAGCGCTGCCCCAGAACCCGCGAGCTAGCAGGGTCCACAGACAAAGTTTGAGCACCTTGGCCAAGGTCGCCAAGGCCGGCGTGCGTCGACTCCAGGCCCACCTGTCCCTGGACCCTGTGGCCCCAGGGAGGCGCCCACGTCGGCCGGCGGGGGTGGTTCTCGCGGGTCCCCGCCCGGGCTTGGGGTCCGGCCGGGAGGGTGCGGCTGGGGCCGGAGCTGGCGGGGCTGGAGGTGGTGGGGCCGGAGGTGGCAGGGCCGGCCCACGAGCGGCTGGCCCTAGGCGCGTGTCACTCACATGTTGTTGAAGCGGAACAGGTCGTCGCAGGTGAAGGCCCGTAGCGTGGTCATCGCGCCGCCGCCGCTTCCGAAGCCAGTTAGCCAAGACCCAGCGCCCGCCCCGCCGCCGGAAGTCTCCCGGAGTGCGGCCGCCGCAGAACCGAGCCGGACGGGGTATTGCTTCCGGGCTACGAGTTGCTCGGCAACGACAGCAGCGAAGCAGCTTCCTCTGGCGGCCGGCGGCGAGAATTGCCAGGCCGCTCCTGTAAGGCCTCCCGGGCTCTGGCTGCCCAGAACTTCGGAACCCCTCCTGGGAAGCGGCTGCAGAAAGCAGGCGGCGACACCTGGGAAGGAAAGAAGCTGCTGGTGATGCGGAAACCCAAGCAGAAGAGCAGGGTTCACAGCCACCCGGTGCTGCAGAGTAAATGAGGAATGGGAGAATTCATGACCCAGAGTCGCTTGTCCCAGTGATGCTAGTCGCAGATATCATCTTAAAATGTCAATACCACGTTTAAAACCAAAAAGAAGGCCGGGGGCGGTGGCTCACGCCTGTATTCCCAACACTGGGAGGCCGAGGCGGGCAGATCACTTGAGTTCAGTAGTTCGAGACCAACCTGGCCAAAATGGCGAGACCCGCTGTCTACTAAAAAGAAAAGAAAGAAAAGAAAAGAAAAGAAAAGAAAAGAAAAATTAGCTGGGCGTGGTGGCACGCGCCTGTAATCCCAGCTACTTGGAGGCTGAGGCAGGAGAATCGCTTGAACCCAGGAGGCGGAGGTTGCAGTGAGCCGAGATCTCGCCACTGCACTCCAGCCTGGGCGACAGAGCTAGACTCCGTCTCAAGAATAAATAATAAATAAATAAAAACAAAAAGAAATGTAAAATTGATTTTGATAGTACATTTTACCCATTTATTTTTCCTATTTAGGAAAAATATTTTTCCCTGACGCCACTTTATTATACCCGAATATCATTTCAACATGTAACCAATCAATACTCAACATGTAATCAGTCAATTAAAAAATTAATGTGATATGTTACATTCTTTTTTGCAAAGACTTTGAAATCCGGTGTGTATACAATTGCAGTGCATTTCAATCTGAGAGAGTACCTGTCATCGGAAATGCTTGTTCTCTATTTAGATTTCATCAATGTATGGTTAAAAAGCAGATTCTCATATCCAAGTGGTTCCAAATATACTGTTTTCAAATCGCTGAATCAAACATCAGTTTTTAAATTTAAAGTAGTTAAAATTAAAAGTTAAAAATTCCTTTCTTCAGGCCAGACACAGTGGCTCACGCCTGTAATCCCGGTAACTTGGGAGGCTGAGGTAGGAGGATTATTTGAGCCCAGGAGGTAGAGGTTGCACTGAGCCATGATTGCACCACTGCACTCCAGCCTGGGTGACACAGCAAGACCCTGTCTCAACAAGATAAGATAAAAGAGAGATAAAATACATAAAGCAAGCAGGAATGCTGAAATGTATTTACATATAAGCACTAAACTGGTCAATATCCACAGAGCTGTAATCCACTGTCTCTGCTGGACACTGTATGACACCGTGCATTTGTATTTTATGGACAAAAATTTTCATTACTATCAATTTTCCTCAGCTTACGAATTTGTAAAATTTTGTATTGTCAAAGACAATAAAAAGCAGAGAAAACCTGGAAACGTGTACTAGACAGGACACCCAGTAATCTTTTTCTGGCCATTTCAAAGTGTTTCATAATTTTTGTGTGTGTGACATGAACTAATGTTGATTTGAATCTTGTTCCTTATGAAGTAGTGAAGGTTTTTGTCATATCTTTGGCTCTGATTCATTGGTATTATAAGCATTAGAAGTTTATAGCTACTTTATGTTTGTATCTAGGTAATGGTGGAATAAACATGATTTTGATTTTTAGAAAAAAACACTGTGGATTTAACACAAAGGTAGTACTGAAACCCTGCAGAGACTGGATGCTGTGGGCCAGCAGTTTGCAGCACTAATACGACTTATTATTCTGATTTTGAGGCACAGATCAGAAATGTCCTATAGCTATATGGCCATTCCAACACATGGGGTCAGAGGAACGTGCAGGGAAGCACAGAGAATATCCTGGATATTCACCACCTGGTTCTCCCTTCTCTCCTGTTTGTCTACTTATTTTTAAACTGTTATCAGTTTCCATTGCTGATTGCCGCCTATGAATTAGCATCTCAAAGGGTGGCCAGTAAGTGCCCAGCAAATATCGATTAAACAGCTGAGTGAAAAAGTGGCATGCAGGTTACCCAGAAGATAATGTCATCCTTGGTAGTTTACAAAGAGGGTATTCACGTTATCAACAAAGGTATTTCACCTCCCTGTGCCTTAGTTTCTGTAAAAGGTGCATAATCATAGCACCTACCTCACTGAATTATTATGAAGATTACATGAGTTAATATTTGTAAAGCACTTATAACAGTGCTTGCCACATTTTAAGTGCCATATAAGTGTTTGGTAAGGAAAATAATGAAATTAAGTATTTTGCATTTTGAAGGATCAGAATCTGGAGATGTAGAGTTAGGAGAGGCACAGCCCTCAACCATAGACCTTAGCATAAATAGCTCTGGAGGGGCAGTGGCTGCCCACAGTCCCCGAGGAGCAGCTTGGAGGAGATGGGTGAGGCTTTGGAAGCCACCTCCCTTTCCTCTTATTGTCTTGCTCCCACCAGAAAAGTCTACGTGTTGACACACTTGTTTTATGGGTTTTAAAAATACCTTTCATGGCTATTTACATTTTTAAAGACCTTTTAATAAAAATGATATATGCACATTATTAAGAAATCAAAGACTTGTGGAAATGTACAAAGAAGAAAACAACAAATCATTCAAAATTTTGCCACCTGGGAATAAACCATGTTAACTCACAGAGAATTTCAGTCATCTCTCTATGTAGATTAAGGGGTGAGAAAGAGACTTTTGCTTAAAAGGGATTCTAATTACATATGTTAATAAATGAAGTATAAGGTATTACTATGCTTGACTTTTTTCTTGAATTTAACAGAAGAAAAAACAAATCATATGAAAATGAAAGAGTGCCAGGCTCAGTGAGTTACTCTTGTAATCTCAGCACTTTGGGAGGCCGAGGCAGGTGGTTCACCTGAGGTCAGGAGTTCGAGACCAGCCTGGCCAACATGGTGAAACCCGTCTCTCCTAAAAATATAAAAACTAGCTGGGCATGGTGGTGGACACCTGTAATCTCAGCTACTCGGAAGACTGAGGCAGAGGAATCGCTTGAACCTAGGAGGCAGATGTTGCAGTTTACTGAGATTATACCACTGCACTCCAGCCTGGGCGACAGAGGGAGACTTCATGCCAATAAATAAATGAATAAATAGGCCGGGTGCGGTGGCTCACACCTGTAATCCCAGTGCTTTGGGAGGCCGAGGCGGGCGGATCATGAGGTCAGGAGTTTGAGACCAGCCTGGCCAACATGGTTTTGTATTTAACTACTAAAAATACAAAAAAAAATTAGCTGGGCGTGGTGGCAGGTGCCTATAATCCCAGCTACTTGGGAAGCTGAGGCAGGAGAATTGCTTGAACCCGGGAGGCGGAGGTTGCAGTGAGCTGAGACCGTACCACTGTACTCCAGCCTGGGTGACAGAGCATGACTCTGTCTCAAAAAATTAAAAAATAATAAAAGTAATAAATAAATAAATGTGAAAATAAAGAGATTGCTGAGCAGCACAAAATAAAAGCTCCTAAAAGTTTCCTGTAAAGTTTAAGATATGAATAGTATTATATATGTATTAAATATACTTGCAATCTCCTAATGAGGATAATTAATGGTCAAAATCAGATTTTTAAATAGAACTTTCAATTTAGGGCACTATTGACTCTTTTTTGTTGTTTTGTTTTTTAGTTTTTTGCTTTTTTGAGACAAGGTCTTGCTCTGTCTCCCAGGCTGGAGTGCTGGCAGGATCTCAGCTCAGTGGAACCTCTGCCTCCTGGGTTCAAGCGATTCTCCTGCCTCTGCCTCCCGAGTAGCTGGAACTACAGGTGTGCACCACCACACGAGGCCTTTGTTTTTTTGAGACGGAGTCTTGTCCTGTTGCCCAGGCTGGAGTGCAGTGGTGTGATCCCAGCTCACTGCAACCTCCACCTCCTGGGTTCAAGTGATTCTCTGCCTTAGCCTCCCTAGTAGCTGGGATCACAGGTGCCTGCCACCACAGGCTACTTTTTTTGTATTTTTAGTGGAGACAGAGTTTCACCATCTTGGTCAAGCTGGTCTTGAACTCCTGACCTTGTGATCCACCAGCCTCAGCCTCCCAAAGTGCTGGGATTACAGGCGTGAGCCCCCATGCCTGGCCTTTTGCGTGTGTGTATGTGAGAGAGGGTCTCTCTCTGTCACCCAAGCTATAGCGAAGTGGCATGATCTCGGCTCACTGCAACCTCCACCTCCCAAGTTCAAGCAATTTCATGCCTCAGCTCCTGAGTAGCTGGGACTACAGGCATGTGCCACCATTCTCTATACAACCACATCACTTTTACAACTATATATCATCTAGTTGTTTGGTTTTAAGTCTATGATTGAGTGGATGTAATTGTCATTCCCATTTCTTGTTACAGCTCTTCCCTTTCCATTCTTCATTCTGATGCATGTATGGGTTGGCTGAGTTTCTCTGTTGAGCTTTTGTTTGTTTGACTTTGCTGTGCTTTGTTTTTCCTCAGGCTCATGGTGCTGGTGCTCTATTCACAGAGCGCCCTTGTCTCTTAGGATGCTCAAGTGGAATATTGGCTGGATATTCCTGGATCCCATGTTCTCTCCTCCAAGATTTTGTAAACATCATTACTCCATTGTTTTCTGGTGTTTAAAGTTTCTGGGGGAGAAGAATAAGGCCAGCATGAGTTTTTTTCCCCCTTGTATCAGTGGCAATTTATGCTGAAGTCTAATTATAACACTTCTAGAAATATGATTGTAATACTTTTAGAAATAAAACATTTTTAACAGTGCATGTGTTTTAAACCTAGTGAATTTGACAATTTCAGCAGTTTAACACTGAAATGTACTAAAAACTTCAAAACGGAATCACTCATACATAGCTGATGGGAATGCAAAATGGTGCAGCCCCTCTGGAGAACAGTTTGGTAGTTTCTTTACAAATTGAACATGCAAACATGCAACTACCACTTAACCCAGCAATTGCATTCC